CGATTTGGTCCATTAACTGTCTTCTGATATTTGGCTTCTCGGGATTTTATGGATCTATTTGGTTACGTCCAACCTTCGCCTTCTGATTAACTTGGCACGTGTTTTTTGGTAGCGGTGATCATAGTTAACCTCGACTCGACGCCACGCTACAATACTTTTCTTTTGTTATGACCTTGATCTGTCAACTCTAGATTAAGACCTTGACGCAATAAGTTGGCCGGTTTAACCTTGAGGCTAGTACGCGTGAGTTCGAGGTGTGGTAGAGAGAGGAAAACTATTTTAGCACCTGATTGGCTGGCAAGCACGGTAATGAGAGAAGACAAGACAGTTGGAACACTATTGGCTGTATTGCGATATCCTGATTTCCTGTGAAATCTCTGAATTCAGATGAGTGCAAAAAGGTACATGAATAAATAAGTGATTTACCTGACCACAACGTACAGTAATTTGCAAAAATACAATTATGTCCGAAACTGGGAATTAGGGTAGAAAATAAGGAGCAAAATATTATGTTTAAATTACAATAGCTTCGGAACAAAAAGGGGTATGGCAATGAATGATACATCGAACGAAAGCTCATGTTCTGTAGAATAAAATAGAGGCAAAAATAAATGTCAGTTTTACAAGCATTGAATAAAATGAAATAACGTCCTGAAAAGTAGCTTTCGTAGTTTGTCAGGGCTTCTTGTTTCCCTGTTCACATCAACTTTCTACGACCTAATTCTTTCTTCATGTATTATATCCTACCTATTACGTTGTGTCAGTTATTTTCTCAAGTATGTTTCTGCCTATGTTGAATAATTTTCGTCATACCTTCTATATGTAGCATTTTTTGTTATTGCTATCTCAAATACTGTAGTAGAATATCACTTTATTGAACGGCATATAACTTTTATATCCACTTCTGATGTATTTCAGTTTTATGTAATCCATAATTTCAATTCAGCAAAGCTTTCATTGATATTTCCACTTAGTTTTGTACAGAAGCGTTTGCAGCCTGTTTCACGTTTGATTATGGCTTTTCTATTTACGGTTATGGGATCATCGGATAAGTAATAGTGAGGTTAGACTCAGGGTATTAGGGAATGATGGTAAATCTTCACCAACTGAGATGGTTGGGTTATGGATTACCACGGCGAGCAATACTGACTAGTGTTGGGGTGGTTGGAAGGAAGTCAGGGGCGGCCAAACAAAAACGCAGCGTCAGTACTTCAAGTTACTAGCTTCTAGTCTTAGCCATACTGGTAGTTGCAGACTACTTGGTTGAAGTCCGTGTGACTATCGTAACGAATGATTGGAGACTCTGGGTGACATGACTCAGAATCGATCACAAGGGCGTAGATTTATACACTCTCTGTCTTCTCTTGAACTATGAGATTAAAATTGCTTTATACTTTTCCTTCTACAAACTAATTCTTTCTTCATGTATTATATCCTTATATGCATTCTTTCTCTTTATATATTACCACCATTGAGTTAACTACTTCTATGAATTCGGTGTTCATCTCGTTGTGCTAATGAGGTGTGGCAACTTGGACCGATGCATATATGTGTCTGGTTCTACGTTGTAGCTGACTGACTAGGTGTTAAACAGATGCTTTTACTCAATGTTCAGAAGCTGTACCCATCAAAGACGTTAGTGCTGAAGCAGTGACTCGTGCCTTCGTCAAACTATGTGTTGCGAACTTCGGCTGCTCTTCGACTATCACTACACACCGTGGACGTCAGTTCAAATCTGAACTTTTCTGCCGTCTAGCTACTCTATTAGGAATCACGTGATTCAGAATAATCGCCTACGACACACAAGCAAACTGGTTGGTAGAACGCTTCCACTAACAGCTTAAAACGTCACTCTCAGCAGAAACGTCTCGCAGTGGACCGACGCTCTACCATTTGTTTTACTCGGTGTTTGCAATGCAACAAAACTTGACATTGGATACACGGTAGCTCAACTCGTTTATGGAACGACACTTCGACCTCTAGTAGAATTCGTGGATCCTTCATCTTATTCAATAAATATGACTCTAATCTCTTACGCGAGATGGCTTACAAGCACTATGCGTTCAGTCAAACATGTTTCCACTAGACCACAATCAACTGATATTTTCTTTCAACCTGCCATACAATAAAGTAAACACTTCTTTGTACGTCGCAACTCACTGCGACGACTCCTCAAAATGACATACGAAGGACCCTTTAAAGTTCTTCAGCGTAAACCCAAGTACTATATAATCGATAGGAACGAAACTAACAGTAGAATCAGCATCGATTTTCTCAAAGCCGTGCATTGGAGGGAAACCCTAATCATGTCGATTTTTCCTCGACACAGTCGAAAGACAAGAGCCCCGAAATTACGATACCTCACCTGATAATCAACAATCGCGATGACACTTAGGTGGTATGTGACAACCGACTCCAAACGATGCGTCCTGGCGGAAGAGTAAGGTTTCTCGAACACACAGACAATTACTGCATGCAATACACTACATAACACCGTTTTGTCTTGATATTATTGTATTGTGTCAATAAAACAAATCAAACAATTTTAAATATGCCTTTAAATATACTTACTGTTTCATTCGGAAAATAAACAAAATTTTTCGTTGCTGATATGCTTGCTTATATATGTACGTATTTATTTTTTCGAAAAAAACTAAAATGTCATTTACTTTGTGTCTGGTTTCTTCTATCAATAGAACGAGACTTGTCTGGAGGCACGAAAGACGAATCTAGACAGCGATTCTACATTGGTGAGCCAGAATATAGAAACTCAGCTCTATATTAATTTTCAGTTGTACTTTAACTTTTTCGATCGAATTTTACCTGTGTTCCTTGAATAATGCTCACGTTTATTATCGTGACGTATTATTGATTGGTAGTCATAGCGTACTAGCTCAGTCAATATTATTACCTGGTAATCTATATTTATTAATGGCCATGATGGTTCATTTACAAGATATAGTAGCATTCACGTGCTGCAGTGAAATAAACTTGTTAAAGCACCAAGCATTAGCAAACATAGCCCCTAATTGACCTAGATGCACACGGGCTAGCAACATCAGCAAGAACTAAGTCGTTATCTGGACTCGATACTCCGTCTTGTTGCCTCACCTAACATCCTAGTCTTTTTCGAACCACAGTTCGTCACACCTTTGTCATGGGTTCCTGCTGACGCCTTCATCGCCACTTGTAACACATGTTGTCGATGTTTATTTGAAAACAGAAGAGATTAAAAGCAACAGTATACAAATCAAGATCGGTGAATATCTCAGGAACAAGAACGCAACTCACGTATGCCGCGAAAATCAAATAACGAGATTCGAGTGCAAAAGGGGAAATATTGTTGCGACATTAGGATTTCTTACTGAACGCACTCCTATGTGGTACAAGGAAGTCAGTTCCTCAAACTGTCCTCAAAAGCTACAAGCAACCTACAATCTGTAACTGCACAGGACTTTCCCAAGTGAACCTGAGCGCTGACTTGGTGTTCCGGAAACTGCAGTTCCTATAGAGGGAACTCTTCCTTGCCCGGATACTGTTCCTTCTGCTACACTGAGGAAAGTAGCTTCAATCACGGCAATACCGCTTAGCGTGATGTTCCCACACTCGCTAAGCCGAGGCTCATTACCGGAAATTCGGAAGCTGGCTCGCATCATACCAATTTTCAAAGGAGTTCGATGAGTGAACCTTCAAGCTACCAACCGATGGTTCTTCTCTTCATACCTTCAAAAATCATCAAGTCCCTGATATGTAGCGATATAAACGACTATTTATCATTCATAAACTTCTAACCACAACAGCACGGTTACAGGAAGGGTGGACATATGGACAAGCATCCTTGGTCGCAAGGGGAAGGTTGATATAATTTACCTTGGTTTCTTAAAATATTTTGATACGGTCGACCATACATGTGTTATCAGCAAGCTCAAACTATTGGGGATCAAGTCATTTCTAACTGACTGGCTCATTTCATATTTGAAAAATCGACATTTTAAGGTCAGGGTTAATTTCACTTTATCTCAGGCTATTGAATGTCCTAGTGGGGTCCCCTTGGGCTCAGTACTAGGACCTCTTCTCTTCTTGATCTACATAAATGATCTTCCTCAACAGGTAACGTCAGACTTATTACTTTTTGCCGACGACGTGAAATGTTGGAGAGAGATACGCAACCAAGACGATATACAGGCACTTCAGGAGGATCTGACTCGACTTCAAAGTTAGGCAGACTATAATGAACCTACATTTAACACTTCAAAGTGTAAAGTAGTCCATCTGCGACATGTCGCAGACTACAGTTATAACTTAAGAAACTCCTCTTTAGTAATATCCCGAGTCGAAAAAGATCTAGGAGTCCTGGTACCCTACGATTCAAAGTCTTACGCTAACTGTGACAAAAATGCCTTGCACTGGTAACACTGCAGCGCATTCTGGCCAGCTTGACGGAAGAACTTTTCACGTAATCTTCAACAGTTTTATTCGTCTCCATTTAGAGTACAGAAACAGTATTCCCCCCTCATTCCAAAAGGATAAGGACACCCTGGAGCGTATCCAAGGATGAGCCACGAAATCAGTTCGAGGACTCAAATTTAAACATTACGAAGAGCGCCTCCATTCACTTAACCTTTACCCATTAGAGTATAGACGTCTTAGAGGTGATCTTCTGATGGCTTATAGTATCCTTAAAACTTCTGAACATCCTCTCAAACACCTACTTAAGCTTAGTTCCAACACTAACCTAAGAGGTAATACCCAGAAGCTGGAGGCACAACTTCCACTCCTCAAGAGTAGTCAAATGCTGGAATTCGCTGCCGGCTGAGCTAGTCCGAGCAACTCCCCAGTAGTCATTCATGAGAAAACCTGACATATTCTTAAGGATGATTTATCAATTTCTTTTTTGTCGTTAATATACCTAGGCTCCTGCCTGGAGGTATTGGTGATCCACTACTACTAGACACGGAAGCCCCGCTAAGCGGAAGCCTCTAATATTCCGTACATAACCATTTGAATGAAGCCTTTCCTCAATATTGAACCATTTAGTGCCGGGAGATTCCTTTTTGTTACAGCCAGTTGTACAGTCACTAAGATTTGGGTTGATTTGAAGGAGTACTGGGTAGGAATAGATTTTATTAATGTTTATTTAGTTCGGTATTCATATAAACACATCACTAATCACACTAAATGTAGTACGTCTTGATAATTCCTGTGGAAAGTTTGTTTATTAAGTGATCTGCTTGTTGGTGTTTGCCTAACGGCATTATATAACCTGTTCGCTTATGGCATCCTACTTTTTGGTCAAGTCGGAGAAGTGGGCTCTAAACATGTTCGATTCCAGAAACACAAAAATGTCCCGTAAATATAAATAAATATTTATGAGCTTCGTATTACGGGTCAAAGAAGATATCACTCTAAGTACATATTAATCAATTTCAAGCACTCAGTAAACAACTTAGTACATAAATTTTGTGTTCACTCAAAAGTCTCAGTAAGTCATAAGCTAAACATTGGCTACTTAAATGGATTATTCTGGACGATATGTCCTGTTACTGGTTCGCGTGTAGAGGTAATTTAAAGTTAAATATGTGAGTACATGTACAACTCCAGTTAAAAAGTTCACCAGGTCATCCTACCTTAAAACCAAAATACAATTTCAGTCTGGAAAGACTTAAGATCCTTAGTGACTTGATCGCAAGTCGTCAGTTGCTTTAAACAGAACTGCTGCCAAACTATAACGTAAGAAATCATGGCGTAGAATTGCAATCTACCAGGCTGATAAATTAGTTTAGATAGACAGACGTTGTGCCAGGTAAAAACCTTAAAAAGTTCGCAGATAGTTGGGTCAATAATCTGCAAAGTTACTTGTTGGTCTTAGTTATTAGTATGTAAGTGGGTGGAGTTCATTAAAAACTGGTTATGAATATACTCATTTCTTCAATTTACCCACATCTCTCAAATACTTATTATTGTGTATACGTTTTTGTGTTCAGTCTACTCTATTGCAAAACTTAATACCTGGAAGTAATGCAATTTTGTGTGCGGCTCCATAATTTTGTACGGATTATAAGTTTTTTTTCACGTGAATAACATAAGGAAATTTTTTGCATCACTTAAGAGAATGTGACTTAGTAATTTAACGTATCTTTTTAGTAGTCTGAGGATTATCCAGTAGCAAGATAATTCACTTCGCGTTTGACGATCCCACTCCAAAACAATGAATATTTTACCAAAAAAAAGGTAATGTTTTTTGTATGTTATTGATTAACAGATGGCATGTTTTAAAAAAGAGAACATTGCTCGGGTGAGGTCAGATGAGGCGAAATATGAGGAGGAGCGAAGAAAATTTGAAATTAAGGCACAACTTGCTGTAAGGCATCTCAAAATCTTCGATTGACTTTATACGTTTAGGATCAGGAAGCGCGAATAGATTATTTAAGAAGACAAAAAAATAACCTAACATCTAGCTCGAGATCAGATGGATTCCAGATAACTCTAACAAAAGATAGTATCGTAAGTTGCGGATCGCAATAATCGGATAGCCAAAAGCTGAATGTCTCACAAGGAAACGCAGAATACGAAAATGAGAAGAAGATCGAACAAGAGAGAAAAGAGAAAGCAGTTGGGATTTTGACTTATTTAGGCCAAACTGTTCTTGATGCTGCCGGTGAAAAGCCGTGGTATGATGTGCACCCTCGAACTTATGAGCGTCGTGAGAGCGAACGAAGAAAGTAAGCGCTATGGCATTTGATGATCAATCTATAGGAGCAAAGAAGAACTAGAAATAAAGAAGAAGACATTGGCTGACCCATTAACAGAAATGAAGAAGGTCGAGGAGATGTTCAAACACAATAAGGAAGTAAAAAGGCAGAGCGAAGCAGCTGAACTTCAACGTGCCAGTGCTTGCATTCATGCTATGCCAACCTTATTTCCTGATGACATAATGGTACCAAAGTGCCCATACACAGAGGTTTGTTTAGGTTTAGTTCTACTTTGCTGTTTCTAAGTTTTATACTTATGCAATTGGTGGGTTAATTTATATGATGTCATTTTGCTGTCAGCAGGGACTGGAAACTATCATCACGGAGTGGGAAGTTGCGTTTACTTACTTACGTCTGTTACTCCCAATGGAGCATAGGACGCCGACCAGCATTCTCCAACCCACTCTGTCCTGGGCCTTCCTTTCTAATTCCATCCAATTCTTGTTCATTTTTCTCATGTCTATCTCCATTTCCCGGCGTAATGTGTTCTTTGGTCTTCCTCTTCTCCTCCGTCCTTGAGGATTCCATGTGAGGGCTTGTCTTGTGACGCAGTTTGGTGCTTTCCTCAATGTGTGTCCTATCCACTTCCAGCGCTTCTTCCTGATTTCTTCCTCCGCTGGGATCTGGTTTGTTCTCTCCCACAGTACGTTGTTGCTAATAGTGTCCGGCCAACGGATCTGAAGTATTTTGCGTAGACAACTGTTAATAAACACCTGTATTTTCTGGATGATGGCTTTCGTAGTTCTCCAGGTTTCTGCCCCATACAGTAGAACTGTCTTGACATTTGTATTGAAAATCCTGACCTTGGTGTTGGTTGACAGTTGCTTTGAGTTCCAGATGTTCCTCAGTTGTAAATATGCTGCTCTTGCTTTGCCGATCCGCGCCTTCACATCTGCATCAGATCCACCCTGTTCATCAATGATGCTGCCCAAATATGTAAAGGTTTTTACATCTTCCAAATCTTCTCCGTCAATTGTGATTGGATTGGTGCATGCTGTGTTGTATCGGAGAATCCTGCTTTTCCCTTTGTGTATATTGAGACCTACTGCTGCTGAGGCTGCTGCCACACTGTTCGTCTTCTCCTGCATCTGTTGTTGCGTTTGGGATAGAAGGGCCAGATCATCTGCGAAGTCTAGATCGTCCAACTGCATCCTAGATGTCCATTGTATCCCGTGCTTCCCTTCAGACGTTGACGTCTTCATGATCCAGTCGATCACCAGGAGAAAGAGAAAGGGTGAGAGTAAGCAACCTTGCCTAACACCGGTCTTCACTTCGAACGACTTTGTCAACTGTCCTCCATGCACGATTTTGCAGTGTAATCCATCATATGAGTTCTGTATGATATTGACTATCTTCTGAGGCACGCCGTAGTGTCGAAGAAGTTTCCATAGTGTTGTTCTGTCCACGCTATCAAATGCCTTTTCGTAGTCAATGAAGTTGATGTAGAGTGATGAATTCCATTCAATTGATTGTTCCACAATGATCCGTAGAGTTGCGATTTGGTCTGTACACGATCTATCCTTACGGAATCCTGCCTGTTGGTCACGAAGTTGGGCGTCTACGCAGTCCTTCATCCTGTTTAACAATACCCTGTTGAAGACTTTTCCCGGTATTGAGAGAAGAGTGATGCCCCTGTAGTTATCACACTTGCTGAGATCGCCTTTCTTCGGTATTTTGATCAGAAGTCCTTCTTTCCAGTCTTTTGGTACTTGTTCCTCATCCCAAATCTTATTGAAGAGAATGTGGAGTATCCTTGCAGTTGCCGCTACGTCTGCTTTTAGTGCCTCTGCTGGAATGTCTGGTCCTGCTGCTTTGCCACTCTTGATTTGTCTGATGGCCATGCTGATTTCTTCAATTGTTGGTGGGCCAACATTGATTGGGAGGTCCGTGGGTGCTGCTTCGATGTTGGGTGGGTTCAGTGGAGCTGGTCGATTCAAGAGTTCTTTGAAGTGTTCTACCCACCTGTTTTGTTGCTCTTCAATGTTGGTGATTACCTCGCCTTCCTTGCTTTTCACTGGTCGTTCTGGTTTGCGGCGATTTCCAGAGAGTTTCTTTGTCGTGTCATACAGTTGTCTCATGTTTCCTTCTCTTGCAGCCTTTTCCGCCGTCGTTGCTAAATCTTCCACATATTTACGTTTGTCGGTTCTGATGCTCCTCTTCACTTGTTTGTTTACTTCTGTGTATTCAGCTTGTGCCTTGGCTTTTTCTGCTCTTGTTCGGCTGGTATTGATTGCTGCCTTCTTGTTCCTCCTTTCTTGAATCTTATCCAGTGTATCAACAGTGATCCATTCCTTGTGGTGGTGCTTCTTGTGACCCAGGACCTCATGACATGTTGAAGTGATTGCCTCTTTGATCCCCTTCCAGTTGCTCTCCACAGTAGTTCCTTCTCCATTGAGTAGATCATGAAAGGCCTGGAACTTGTTGCTGAGGACTATCTTGAATTTTATGCGATTGCAAAATAATAAATAAGAACTTTCGTCTAAATTTGAACGAATAGTTTCACAATATTTGGGCGCCGAGTTAATTTGAGACATTAAAAAGAAGAATATATTTGTAAAATCTCAGCGAATGAATTTTAAGTAAATCCAACGTTTCGCCTGGCAATCTGGTCCAAGCTTTTTCAAGGAAATATATATATTTTCCTTGAAAAAGCTTGGACCAGATTGCCAGGCGAAACGTTGGATTTACTTAAAATTCATTCGCTGAGATTTTACAAATATATTCTTCTTTTTAATATCTTGAATTTGTTGAGCTTGTTAGTATCCTGAAGAAAGGCTAACCAGAAAAAAATTGCTTTCAGCCATTGGTATTTATCTAAAACACGGAAGACGATTGAGAGCATTGTTTTGTTGGTTACAGAAGCTCACTGTGCTCTGTATTGAAATCGATAACTGGTTCGCGTATATTTCATACTTTGATAACTTAAATTTCAGTAGCGGTAATTTTTAGCAAGCGGTCAGTTAATCTAAGTACTCAACCACTGGATCGCTTGAGGTACTTCGGTTTTAGAAGCTAAGTAGTATATCAAACCACACAGCAAAAGTGACCCGAAACAAAGTAGAAAACTCAACGCTTGGTCAACTAAGTCATCATTTGCAATAGTTGTTAAGCAAAGCACTAAAACCCTGTACTTTGTTTATTTATTTGAACACATAAACATTGGTACAAGAGGTCACCAAATATTTATGCGCCACACAAAACAATGAGAATTCGAAGAGAAAGAAAAAAGAATAATAACGAATAGATTAGTGTAAGGTGGTGTAATAATAATAATAATAATAGTAATGGTAATAATAATGACGGAAACAGAAGGGTACAGCTAAAAGAATTCTTCCAGTTAAGGAAGTTACAACTACTGTTTTATGAAGAAAGTAAAAGAACGTTACAACAGGATCGAAACTGGCTTCCATTCTGAGCCATATCTGATAACGTCTCTAACCGCTGTGTAGCACCATCTTTAGGACCCCAGCCAGGGAGTCGTGAAGGACAAACAAAAGCCAGCCCTTCGCAGCTTTCTTTCATACCATGACACCATGTCATACACTGACCACCTCTCCTCTTTTTCGAACTGTTATAATTTCTCTTTCTTACGGTATGACCCAGCTATACCTATTGCTTAGTATTCTTGGACACCAAATCACTCGACAAGACCACAAATCAGAACACGGTTGAACAGGAAAGAGATTATATTCCAAATAACAAGGTTAGATGGAAGTAAGATGCAAGTAAGAAGCACAATAGGGAAAACGTTAGTACATTTATAGTTTTTACATGAGAAGATTCTAGAGTATTCTCCAAGTATCGACTAGTGTTGATTGGATAAGAATTAGCCAATCAGCGTGCACCAAAGCAATCGTGCATTGAGCATGATTTAATCCAGTCTATGGCATTGTTTGCCGACTCTGGGACTGGTTCGTACCAGTCCCAGAGTCGGCAAACAATGCACGATATGGAATTCTCTGGGACGACATTCATAAAACATGTCCAAGACACCAAAGTCGGTGTTTCAAGATGGTAACATCAATTGGATTATCGTCTCTGCACCCAAACACACGACGCCGAACCCCTGCATTTCTAACATGGTGTTAACACTGGATGTCAGCAATCCTTCGGAGACAACGATGATCGAACACAGAGAGTCGTCTAACATCCTCAACTCGGAGAGGCCAGGTTTCACAAGCATAGAGCAAAACTGCTCTCACCGACGCGTTGTAGATCCGACCTTTTACAGCTAGACTGACATCACGAAGACGCCAAAGATGGCCCAGATTGACATAAGCTGCTCTGGCTTTCACTATATGTGCATTGATCTCATCAGTCAGGCCACCACCAACACTTATGCAGCTACCTAGATACACGAACTTCCCAACTACTTCTATCTGCTCACCATCCAGGGTGAGTACAGGATTAGAATCCTGCCAGTCTTGTAGAAGTACTTTGCAGTTCGAAGGTGCAAAGCACATACCGTACCTACGGACACTGATTGCCAACTGATTAAGTGCGGATTGCATGTCTTGGGCATTTTCGCACAGTAAGACAATATCATCCGCATACTCAAGGTCGAGAAGTCTTTCTCCAGGCAACAGATCCACACCGCCATTACTTACATCCATCAGAGTTGTTTCCAGAATGTCATCGATGGTAAAGTTGAAGAGGAATGGTGAGATTGGGCAACCCTGTCTAACCCCACTGCTTGAATGGGACAATGGAGAAAGGTGGTTGTATGCCCTCACTCTGCCTGAGGTGTTTTTATATAGGGCTTTTAGGATGTTAACAAACTTCTCAGGCACACCCTTCTTCACTAGACAATCCCAGAGAACAGTCCTATCCAACGAATCGAAGGCAGCCCTGATGTCAAAGAACACTACGATTGTTGGCCTTTGATAAGTATGACAGTGCTCTAACATTTGGTGGAGGGTGAGGGTGTGATCAATACATCCTCGACCGGAACGAAAACCAGCCAACTCCTCTCGAGTCAATAATTCTCGGGTTTTGAACAACCTGCGAAGTATGACAGGAGCTAATAGTTTGGACGCAATCGGAAGTAGACTTATACCTCGATAGTTGTTACAGGAACGACGTGAATGAAACGACAATACCTACGGAAAATACTATACTTGCTGCAGATCACACTAATTTTTCAAAGTAAATGAGTCAGAAATAAAGCAGAAAACAACCTCAGACACCCATGCAATTTGCAAATCATTTAAATTTCAATGATGTATGGGGTTTAGTACAGGTCTTATGCATTGGTGCGGAAAGTTCGGGCCTCCCTCGACGAAATTCCTGGATATTTCATGGCGGTAATATCGTTTATTCAAAATTTAAAGAGAAAAGATCAGTTTGATTAGGTCCCACTTCACTATTGTGGCAACATTGTCGATCCGCGTTGGTTTTGTGGTGCATACTAATATTTATTGCATTTTTTCTTACTCGCGTATTGCAATGGATGTTTGCGTAATTTAAAACTTGTATAACTATGAGATTCGCCCCAAAAAGATTTTCGATGGTGTCTTTATTTCTTAACATACATATAGTCCGATTATGAATATCGCGCATATTTGTGGTGCTAATATTATTTACTCTATGATCAATATTTGTAATGGTGTGTTGCTATAGTAAAACTTTTCTTTCGTATAGGCTTCGAAAAGTCGACGAACAGGTAGTAGGTATACTCAATCACTTACTGAAACTTCATGTAATTCATTTGGGGAGCTAACGAATGATTTATCCACGGGGGTTTCTCTGAATCCCGAAAGTATGGATAAAAAATCAGAATTGATTGAAATGGCCAAGCGTTCAGACATTAATCGTCTTCGGGCTGAAAGACTGCAACGAGAACGAAAGGAAAGAGACAGGGCAGCAGTTTTACTGGCTAAATCTTTTGGTTTAGATGCTTTAAAACCTCCAGATCAAGAGCAAGTGTATGTAGACGAACGAAGTTTGCCCTTTAATTCTGCATTTAATCCTGAACTGTCGGCTGTCCTGGCTGAACGACGTCAACGACATCGTGAGTCGAGAAAGCGGAGTTACAAAGAGGTGAATTAAATCTTTGCAAATGATTTCGCAAACTGTACATATGGTGGTTTTTTTTCATTTTCACAAATGATCTGAAAACTATTGGGATAAGTTATGTGTAAGTAGTTCTAGTCGTTTGGCCAAAGCCTTTAGTTATCGTTTTCGATTGTCTCCAAAATATAAATACCCTTTATTTGTGGTTTTCATTTGTTTTATGAAATTATTAAGGCGGAAACAATTATAAACAAACTATAGTCGGGTGATTCTAGTATCATCATACTTAACTCTTGACCAAGGTATTTAGCAGTTGAACAGCACCTAGTGCAGCTTGTTATTCTATAATAAACTAACAAGTACATATACAATGCTGGTAAGCATCCAAAATAAAATACTTATGTATGAGTAGTCATGGTTTTCTTTGGTCAGCAAGGGAAAGTGTAAGCTCTCTTGAGATTAGGTGTAAATTAAAAAGTGAAGGGGAACTTGACTGTACATAGTTCTATCATTATGATTTACGAAGTAATTAATAATTTTTGATTGAGATCATGAACCGATTGATGTTAGACCACCACAATTGAAAACCTGGAAGCACTGGACGGCCGTTTCGTCCTATTGTGGGACTCCTCAGCAGTGCGCATCCACGATCCCGCTCGCGGGATTCGAACCAACTGGACCACTGAGCCGGCATCCAATGGTGATAGTTTCTAACATCAACCAATCCACGAAATTGCGCGACCAACTTCCGTTGTACTGAGGTAGATACCTGTCTCTACCCGACAAGGATTAGCTCCACTGGTCACGGCTTCTCACCAGAACTCCGAGAATTCCCTCATGAAGCTAGTCACTAGTGAGCACATGTTGATTACTATTATAGGGGTTGTGGAGATTACTAAGTTTTTGATTGAGATCATGAATCGAAGGCCCTGGGTTCGAATCCCGCTCGCGGGATCGTGGATGCGCACTGCTGAGGAGTCCCACAATAGGACGAAACGGCCGTCCAGTGCTTCCAGGTTTTCAATTGTGGTGGTCTAACATCAATCGGTTCATGATCTCAATCAAAAACTTAATAATCTCCACAACCCCTATGATAGTAATTAATAATTTGCTGTTAAGCGGTTATTATTTGCAACTAGTGACGATGTCAAATGCATATTGAGTGCCAATTGACTATCAAAGTTATGATCAATGGGATTGGTTGTTATTGTCCGACATGTCTCCAGGAGCAAGCGGCTTACGGCCTCACTCAAGTGGAGGAGATAGTCTACTAAGGTTTACTTTAGAATTGCTTTCCTAGTTTTAGACGCTAAGTTATGTCTCCACTTGTAAGACTAGAAACAGTTTCTTACAAGTCCTCAGTTATCTAAATAATGAGCCGTGCCTACCATTTTTAGGCTTAATCGTTACTTGGAAATAGATCATCTTTAATGATGATGATCTATGCGATACTTAGTACTGTCGCTTTTCTCGTGTACGGTAAACACGATTTCACTACCAGACGTTAAATTTGCAGCTTTCTATCAAAAAGCTGCTGGTATTGTTAAGTTAGGATTTGACCCCAAACACGTTAAGTCAGTGAGAAGCATAATTTTGTCATCGCGCGGATGTACTCAAATCAAAGCAGAAAAAGTAAGGAGTGTTACTATTGCTTGATGTGATTGAGTTCACACTTAGATATACAATAATTGAGACAATAGTGCCATGAGGTATATGTGCAACTAGTGTTTACAATGTTCAAGAGTGAGTTGTGTAAGACCCTACTCGGTTTTTCGGATGGGAACTTGTAGCATTAAGACTTCTGATAAGACAGTAGAGTAGTATTGTAAGGAATATGTATTGATGGGTATCCCAAGAGAATCTAATCACATCCAAGTCTACTCAGTTACACGTCAATTAATCCAGTGATCCATTCCAAAAATTTATCGGATTGAGTGATCATCAGTTTGCACAAAACAGGAGTAAATTTATGAATACAATGAAAATGCCTTAAAATCATTTAACTAACTACACACTCAATAAAGCGATGCAAATGAATGCACATTGAAAGTCAAGAAACGGAATTGATTTTTCCTAAATATAATGTTCGGGGATTTAGTATCTTCAGGATTAAGTTGAACAGTATAGTTAAAATGATAGGAGGCGGTTTTTGAATTTTAGAGAGGGATAGTGTAGATTATTCACAATGAAGTAAGCTTTCTTTTATTTTGTGGTTCTCTCTCCTGCTGAAAGTTGTCGAAAACTAGGATAATGTAACTCAGTTTGATTACACACTATTAGTTCGTCATATTAAATCTTCAAATTAAATAACTAAAAGTATGTTCACGCTGAACTACAAGAACTTTACAATGTGGCGAAAATCTAGTCAGGATATAAATTTCCTCGTAATCGGACAATGATAATAGATATAAACAAGTTTAGTAAGGTTTAATTGAAACATGTTAGAATAGCGTAAATGCGGTATAGTTTATATACACAGGAAGGTAAGTATTCGTAACCAAATAAATCTCCAAGTGGGTTGTACTTAAAAGCATGAAGGCCGAGAAATAAAAACTATGAGGATGAAGGCGTTTAACTAAATGTTAGTGAGACAATTCGAGATATTCACTAACGGCACTTAAAATAACTGCAATTGTTATAGTTCTACAGGTGAAACACTTGGTAAGTTGATCTGTATTTCAACTAAACACAACTGACCTAAACCAGTTTATAGTATAGAAAATCAACTTGGGTTAGGAATGAAAAATAGTTTACACAATACGGAATATTAAAAGTACAAATATTGGAATAGAACTGTACGGTTAGTGAAGTCTTCCAACGAATGATAAACAGCTAACCAAACGGATACTGTAAGATTATTTCACATGTACTTGGAAGTTTAGGAAAACAGGGAACATTGTCTCAAACTATATACACTTTTAAGGTGCAATATGCTACAATTTCTTTAAAAAGTTTAAACAGTCATCAGGGATATCAACACCTTGGATGATGCTATCTACTGGAAATATTTGTTCAATTATAGAAGTCAAACATCTGCCCAGTTGGAACATTGTAGGTCGAATCATGGGATTTACAGCCCAACCACTGAAAAAAGAGAAGGGTCGAAAATAAGAAAACTTAGTTCCGAAATAACCTAGTTCGATATCTTATCATGATGAGTAAACTATATTAAGTAAAAACATAAGTAGCAAACGATGTTTCAAATAATTATAGCCCCGAGGTGGCTTCTTTCATTGCACGCGCTTGAGCAAAACGTTATTTATGTAGGTTTCTGTAAAGGCATCATAAGTAGAGATACTGTAGCAAGTTTGGGGTGACATTATTGACCAATTATTAGATTATTAAAGAGATCGAAGGTATATATGCAAATGTTGCTGTAAATTAAAAGTACGTTTGATCAAAAGATGTAACGGGCTCCATATGACAATATAAGAACAAATCACGCAGAAACCAATTCAAATTTCTGTGCCTATATCAACATTTCGTACTTGAATTTATCGCTCTGAAAAGCGAAGTAATGAAAAAGGTTCTTTTCAATTAGAGCAATTTATCAACTATTCTAAAGCACCTTGAATATTTCTAGTCCATTACTTTAAGAATAACTGAGGTAGATTCTACTAGCTGAGTAAGGTAATGACTAACACTTTTACAGGGTATGAAGTAGTAGCTGAAAGTCTAAACGCTAATCGAAGATCCTATTGATCGAAAAGGATTTTAAACAAAACTCCGTGAAGATATTCGGGAAAGCAGTTTTGTGAATGCTCAACTCTATGAGGAAGCATGAACAATGAATAAACATGATAATGTAATATGAATATTTGAATACTAGTGTAAATGATAACAACACGCGGATGTGTATCTTTCACAGAATTAGCACAAATAAAGGGGTGCAAACGTAATCATATTGGATGGTAGTGTGAATAAAGTGAGATAGGAGGTTTTTGTCACAACAACTAATGGTGTTAGGGATAGTAAGTGGAGTGGTATCAGAAACGATTTCGAATAAAATTATAGAGATGGGAACTAATTGGAGAATGAGTGGTATTTTCGAATGGAAAATCGATCAAATGAAAATAACAGGTCAAGGCCACAATAAAGACAAAAACAAGACATGCTTTTTTTGTACACAATGTTCAGACTTCATCCCATGAATAGAAATAACATCTACTGTTTTAAAAAAATTGGATACGAAGTTTTGGTAGATTTGAACGGATTCTATAAAAAATATGTAAGTCAGTTGAGTGGTAACAGTTTATTAAGTGTCCGAGGATAAAATGCCTAATTGATTTACTCGGGTTGTTGCAAGACCAAGCTTTGACATGTCCTATCAATGCTGAAAGCTGGTGTTGACTGTTTATGTACCTTATCGTACAGAAGCAGGCATGGAGTTGAACCTTCTCTCATTCTTTCCCTCCCACTATATATATACGACTGTATAACTTGGCGAGGAATTCGGCGAAAGCAGATTGATTCTCTAAATGTCGTGTCTTTAATATTTAAGAACGCAGTGAACATCTTACCTTTTTCTAGGCGATGTTTTGATTACCACTAACATGGTTAAGTGTAGCTTTATAAACAGTTTACCAAGTAAAGTTTACCAACTCAGCTCTGAGCCACACTATTATCAAGTGCTTCAACAATCAGGTAGCTTGTGTGGAAGGTATGCACAATTTACCTTAGTTATCAAAAGTTTGCCAAGTTGTTAAATGAACAAAAATAGCTAAATCGGCATCACAGAACAGTGACTATTACTAGTAATTTGTAACTACATCCCATCAACTAGTTCCTGAATCATATGTATTGACATGATCGTTCTTAATTAGAAACTAAAATATCTAGACAAACACTACTCGCTTTCGAAATAACGGGGCGAGTAGTGTGAAAGTATAACTTTTGGGACTATCACACGGAGGATTATTACTTATACTTTTATTGTATACTTAGTGAACGTTTGGATCTTTGTGTTCCTATATTTGCCTATTTCTAAACTTTACGTTGACCTATAAATCGCTGCTGTGTCTTATTGTTCATCAATGAATTATTTCCCTAGCACTACGGTTTTGTATCACTTATGACTAAGCTATGTATACGTCGTAGTTTTCTGCTTCTGTGAAGTCAGTCATTTTAGGTATATTATTGAGTTTTGAGTCTAGATTGAATACAATACAGTAGCTAATTATTTATTTTCGGTCTTCATTTCATCAGACACTGG